CTCTCTCTCTCTCTCTCTCTCTCTCTCTCTCTCTCTCTCTCTCTCTCTCTCTCTCTCTCGGCTTCTCCGTGTGCGCCGCGTAAGTTATTTTAATTATCTGAACAGTTTACGCTTCAGAGCGTGTGACCTAGATGAACGCGAATTTTGCAACACGCTCGATTTGCAAAGGCGCGTACAACAGATCGGAGTAATAAATCTCCATAGTTTCTGTACCGACACTTGTCCAAAAAGTATGAAATACCAGCCGCTATTTTACCGTTGCGAGGGAGCGGTGCGCTATCAGAAATTCCGCGATATGGAAATCTAGCGGCAGAAATCGAGCGACTGCATTCGCAACGCATGTTCGATACTTTTTCTTTTTTCGATACTTCGCGGTTTCTATTATCTATGATTATCTTTGCAATTTCAAGTATATCTTTGGACATTAAACATGCAGTACACGCGGTTAAGATTAGGTTTGTTTTATGGTATTTTTTACGAACATGTTTCACGCGCGCGTGTTAATAAATTCCTTATACAGAGTGTAATAACAGTTTTTGCTGAATAAAATGGGAGAATTATTGATTTTTTGTGTTTCCACAAATTCACATTAAGAGTTTATTACACAAAAAAAGATTAGTATCCACTTCAAACTAATAAACTCAATTTGACAATCATTGCTTCACATACAAGCAACGATATATAATTCTGTTAGAAGAATTTTAATGTCTTGAATTTCAAATTCAAGCATTTCAACGACGTTATAATTTTATATAATAATCTTAAGATATATAATAGTCTATAATAGACTCATATATAAGAAGTACAGTATGATTATTTTGATAATAATCATATTTTCTCTCAAGATTTAAGAACATCATATTTTTAATCTAATATCTTTCCATTCAACAAATGCAAATTATTTTCGATTGATAAAAATATATTTTTCCTACTGACTCATATAAAATATATTGATGCAAATAATTTATCTTGCGTTATGTAGTCTCATTTTAAGATTTACATAACAATTTGTTATATACAAAACTAAAGATATTTCCAAAACAAGAATCTTCTTTGTTCTGCATGAGAATCATCGTATCGATTTGCTTCGAAAGAACATCGACTCCTTGAAGAGTGAATCGTTGGAACAATCGCATGGAAATTCTACTTTGCAAAGAGAAAAGAAATAGGAACTGTGCGACAGTCTACGAAGAAACGAGGTGAGAGCCTGATGTCAGCTAACTAAGCCGTAAAAAGAAGAAGAAGCAAGAAATGTAATCGATTCTCAAAAATCGGAGCGGAATCGCGAACCACTGTCGAGCATTCGTCTCGCACGCGTTCGCACCATGTGCGGGCGTGAGTGAACGTATGCGTTTCCGCGCGAAGGTCGTTCGGCGGTTCCGCGGGACCGGAAGTGGGCCGGCCTTGCGGCACGACCATCGGCGTAACCTTGCGGGAAAGACTCGGCTGTGTGTGTCAGCGTTCGCGAGATCGTGCCTGTCTAAGCGCGCGGCTGGATTTTCGGTGAACGATCGTGCCAGAGGCTCGCCGATACACACAGACTAACCTTTTGCGCTCCGCAGACTTTTTTGCACAACGTTGTTGACAGTTTGCTCAGCGCGCGCTACGGCGTTGACTTATGATTCATAATACTTGCGCGTTGCATACATTTCATGCTTATTTATATATATTAGAAAGGAAATAACGCATTACGCTACGACAGATTGTCAGACTTTAACCCCAAAGGACACACACATTTATCAACATTGATTGTAGACTATAATTGAATTTAACGGGAAGTTCTCTCTCTTTATCTCTTACTCTCTCTTTCTCTCACTTCCTTTTCTCTCTTTTTCGCCCTCTTTGGTTTAAATAACCGACAAAATAGAAGGTTTTTATGGTTTTTTATTTAAAAAAAGGAATGAATTAAAAGGAATGAATAAATATATTAATATAGGGTTTTTATCGTACATATTCATTATTGTTTTTTATTTAAAAAAGAATTTGAAATTTTGTTGTCCAGATTTTCTGTATTGTCGCTTTTAATTGGTAAACAACATTACAGCTTGTATGAAACAGATGGAACTAGGAAATTTAGGAACTGTATTAAATTCGCTGGAGGATGAACCTTCGTTATATGCAAAAAGTCGAAATTTAACAAAATGGCAGCATTTCGAAGTTACAGATCACTTTTCCTTTTTTTTTATTTTTTTCTTTAGTGTTCCGAGAAAAATACTAATTTTGGAAATTTTTTTTGGAAAGAATTTAGATTTATTCTCCAGAAAACTTCATACAATTTTTAAATTTTTGTATTTCATTTGTTTCGGATTATTACACGAGCTGTAATGTTGCCAACATTAGTTAGAGGCGCCCAGTAACACAGCACGCTAGCACAAAAATCTGAACGGAATTTCAATTTTTTTATAATTTTTTATCCTTAAGACAATAATGAATAGTATGGTCAAAACCCTAAATTGATATCCTTATTCATTAAAAAAAAAAAAAAAATCCGTAAAAATTTGTTATTTTTTGGCTATTTTAACCAAAATCTATTCTTCTGCACAATATTATATATTATATAAAAGTCACCATAGTTGGCATTAGTGTTGAACATCAATTAACATTTTTTTTTACTAAAATAATCGTCAAATTAATAATCAAAATAAATCAATCACACACGCGCACACACATTCATATAAATCACAAATAATTTGATCAGTGTATAAATAATTACATCAGAGTTTGATTAATATAATTAATTAAAAATTAATTTTATTAATCGATGGAAATATTTGTGATTTTATATATGAGGTTTCGCTAATTTTGATTATTGATTTGCCAATTATTTTAATCAAAGAAAATTTTAATCAATTGATGACATTGGTTGAAACTTGGAATCTCTGAGTAAAAATTTATTATTTTATTAAATCATTTTAAACCAATCAAAATTTGAGACGGTAATTCGCAATGAGAAATTTACTCATCCAAGAATTACTTTCTTCATAGAAATATTTTCTATGAAGACTGATTTTCGATAGACTGATGTACGTAAACTTTATAGCAACTTTAAGTATAAAATCACGCAAGTGAGTAAAATCACGTTGAGTCTTTTATGACCAATGAGATTACAATCATATTTGTCACATAGAATGACAAAATGGAAATATAAAACAAATAAAAAAATAATTGTCCAAAATTGCTAAAAATAATATGTTAAATTAATATGAAAATCTGCGTGTATCTTTTAGTATTTGTTGCTGCATCGATACAATAAAAAATATTACATTATTGTATAGTGTCAATTTAATAATAAATTTCGTACACAATATATTATACTTCATAAATGTAATTAAAAGAATTGTAGAGTTCCTATCATGGATTATCTCATGTCGTGACAATCATGAAAATCTATCTGAGAAAATATTTTGACTTGTTACATAATATTTCGTTTGTTTTTTGGGTTTGGACCGCGTCTTTTTCGTATTTGATTCCGACGTTTCGTGAACTTTTCAGTTTACTTCTTCAGAGAGCAGGACCACTTGAAACTTGTTGTATAATACGTGTTGTATATTACATTGTATATTACTATTTCTCTTGATATTATTTTCGCATTAGTATAATGAGAGAAAACGCGGAATGAAGATAAAGACAGTACACGCCTCTCTCCTTTCTGTTTTTCAGCAACTCGAGGCAGGGGAGGCACTGCACAGCGGCACACACGCAGCTTCCGATAATCCACGGCGGCGTGTGAACAGGAGGGGCCCGCCGTAAGGATGCTGTACGCTTTCGCGGAGATCGAGAGGCCGCGAGTCGTATCACGAGCAGCGCGCAGCAGCGCGACCAGCTGAGAATGTCAGAGCAAAACGGGCCCAGCGAGGGCCCAGGACCAGGGCCCGGATCGGACGGCGGCTGGTGGCCGTCCACGCAGACCTGGAAATCAACGGCGGCTGTCTCGTCGAACTCCTCGACCTCCACTTCAGCGGCAGGCTCCGCGTCCGTCTCCGTTTCCTGCGCCGCATCCAACTCGTCCGCAACGAGCTCCTCCACCTCGACCATCTCGTCCGCGACCTGTTGCCCCTCGTCTTGCATCGGTGTATCCTGCACGATGAGCCCGGCCCGTTCCACGGAGACGGAGAAAAACGTATCCATCACGACTATTAACGTACCCCCCAGCCAAGAGATGCACGATGGTAATTATCCCGGCCTCGACCGCGAGAGATTCCTTTAACGCGATGAATGCTACTTTGTTTCTCCTGGGATACGGAATAATCCCTTATACGATACGTGTAACGGCGCTCATAGCGAAATTAGAGGGGATTCGTTTCTGACTTGGTACGTAAATTATCACATGTTCAAATCGGGGATTAATTGATTGAAATTTTGGGTGACTAAAATAATCAATGAATCAATAATTAAAATTAATCAATTGTCATATTTTTGATCGCGAATAATTCGGCCAATTGATAAATTGATGATTCAATATTAATCGAACTTTCATTTGTTTGATTATATTAATCATTAACTTAATTAATCGATGAAATTATTCGTGCACTGAAAGAAAAGTTTGGTAATGATCAATTGTTCAAGTTTGGTTTTGGTAATGATTAATTATTCAAGTTTCAATAATGGTTATCAAATATAAAATAATTCCAACTGAACGCTTACAAGTAAATACAATCAAATAATTTAGACATATTATCTAGTACTTCTCACGTTGTATGATAAATATATGAAATGACCAAGTACTTTGGTCATTTCATATATTTATAGTCAAAGTAATAATTATTACCAAATTATCTTGTATTATTTATTAAGCTATTTAATTGGTTTAATTAAACGAACAATTTTTTATTTTACTAATATATTTTAGTAATTTTGTAATTTTACTACCACAACCATAGGGTTATATGTGATAACTATTATCACATTTGTATTAAAACGAACCAAATATATTTGTTAACTATTACAGAACTCTTCAGTGTGATTATACATATGACGATTGTTATTATCAATAATTTGCTGATTATTTCAATTAAAGGAAAGTTTAATCGATCGATACCTCACACTGGTTAAAAAAAGTATGTCGTTTTGATTATTCATAATAATATCGATAATAAAATCCACATCCACTTGCATGTTTCTGTGCTATTGTCAAGAAACTGAATCACTCAAAAATTGCATTTTGCCTAGAAAGAACTATTTTGTGAAATTCCTATTTTTATTCACACCGAACACACACACACACACACAATCTGGAATAAAAGAATCAATAAACCGTCCGCTTATAATTTCAGATAAAGGAGTGTGTAAGTATCTCGGAGGACAGAACGGCGTGACGGTGTCGGTAGTGTCGACCTCCGTACTGGGCTGTGGAAACACAAGCGCCGTCCCGACCTCCGGGATATGCACGAACACGGGGCCGCACAACATCGGCATCGGGATCGGCATTCTCGCCGCGAATGTGGCGGACATCGACGACCCCGAGGACAGCGATGGCGAGATTAGCAAGATCGACTTCAGAGGCGTGAATTTGCGCTCGAAGAAGAAACGCGACGTGTCCGGCAACCAGAACGGCGACAAGATTGGTGATGGGGATGCGAACGGCGATAATGGTGGATGCTGCGACGGCAACGACAACTCGCAACAGCAACCCGAAAGACCGATGTCGTGGGAGGGAGAATTGTCGGATCAAGAAATGTCTTCCAATACGATTACCGATCAGGTAGGCTTCTCTTCTCTTTTTCGTCTATGCGAAAGGGACGACCTTCGGGGATATGAGAGTCTGCTGTCATCTCGACATTTTTCGTTTCGGAAAAACCAAGAAATGTATCTTTACTCGTATCGATGTCGGATTGGAGAAAATTGACGATGCCGAGTTTACGAAATTTACTTTTGCAAGAGTGACTTTTTATCGTTAGTCGCTACCTTCGTTGAAAAAACAGTTACTCATTACTATTATTCAATAATATGTTACTTTTGCAATTTTATTTCTATTTTATGAATGAGGAATGCTACTCATTACTATTATTCAATAATATATTACTTTTGCAATTTTATTTCTATTTTATGAATGAGGGGGAGTAGTGGGAGTGATCTCTGAAAAGTCACTCAAGGGGCATTCACAATGGACTAAGGTCTGTGTTCACTGTATCGATATGATGCAGATCATCATTCTATTCTATTGGTAGTGATCTCTCTCATATATTTGTGATGCGCACGTTGGTATACACATATATACTACACACATACACACACACACACACACACATGGGATTTGAAATTTAACGCCGGCTTTTTACAACAATTTTTTCGAACAAATTACATACATAGATATTTTTGGCGAAGATACTAAGTGGTTTTGCCGGTTGCCTACCGAGACGAGACGAGCGTGTGAAAATTTCCAATTCTGTCGGAGATCCAACCTTCGATGTAGTAAATCAATACGTTGTTTACTACACCACGCTCGTCTCAGTGACTTTTATCGTTACTAACAAAAAAAAAAAATAATAACACCGTTGCCAAAAAAAAAACGTTGCTGGAAAATGTAAACTTGTAAAAGTAATGTAGCTGCTATAACTTTGTAACAATAATGATAAATAATTTCCGAATCTTGATCGATACAGTCGATACAATCAATTTCAGGACGATCATAAGGAAATCTCTATGGAGGGAGTACAAGTTTGTAGCACGAGTCCCGAGCCCATGGAGCAGAAATTTCAGATCAAGTCGGAGCCGGATTTTCGATCCAGCACTGGTTTCACAATAGGATCCTTTCACGATGCCGGGCTGCCCATGACACATAACCAACAATTACAGCAACAGCAACAACAGCAGCGCGCCATCGAGACTCTCGAGCAAACTCAACAGAATGATTTGCCACTTCTCGTAGGTAAACTTCTCGGCGGATACAACAGCTCAACGCCTAATCACAGTCCCGTACTGAATCCGCGGCATCATCTGACGAAACACAGTCACACTAGATCGCAAGTGAGTTGAACATCGAGAGTGTTAAGTTCGCCGAGATATTTTCGTGTATTCCGCAGGCTCTAACTTTCCTAAATTTCGGTAGGTACCGTCGCCAGATTCCGCCATTCATTCCGCGTACAGCGTCTTCAGTTCGCCGACACAGAGTCCCCACGCGGCACGACATTCCGCTTTAGGCGCGGGCAGCCCGATTCCCTCCTCGTCGCTGTCGCTCTCCCGGCACAGCTTCAACAACTCAACCTCCTCGTTATCGCTCTCGCTGTCACATTCGCTCTCAAGGAACAACTCTGACGCGTCCAGTAGCTGCTACAGCTACGGCTCGCTCAGCCCTCCCACTCACTCACCCGTCCAGCAATCACGACACCCGCACACACACTCGCAACATCATCAGCATCAGGTGGCGCAAGGGAGCCCGCTGCATCTGCCCGCGTCATCTGCAGTCACGGCTCATCCTTACTCTACTTCCTCCGTGCCGGGGTCCGAGCTCTCCCCGGACGGACACGCTGTCGCGGAGGATCAGGAAGACTGTAGGATACCATCCGCGCCGTCCGGTATCTCCACCAGACAGCAACTCATCAACAGTCCCTGTCCGATTTGCGGCGACAAGATAAGCGGTTTCCACTACGGCATCTTCTCGTGCGAGTCGTGCAAGGGTTTCTTCAAGCGCACCGTCCAGAATCGCAAGAACTATGTGTGCCTTAGAGGCGCGGGTTGCCCGGTCACTGTGGCCACGAGGAAGAAGTGCCCGGCTTGCCGCTTCGACAAGTGCCTCAACATGGGTATGAAGCTCGAGGCGATCAGGGAGGATCGTACCAGAGGCGGTAGAAGCACTTATCAGTGCACCTACACCTTACCGGCGAATCTTGTTGGCAGTCCTGTCGGCGGTATGACCAGCGAGAAGCTCACTACGACCGGCAATTGCAGTCCGGCGCCGGCCGGCAGCGAACACCACTACCCCGTACGACATCATTCGAATCATTCTCACAAAATGCAGCCGGTGCCGCAGCTGTTGCAAGACATCATGGACGTAGAACACCTCTGGCATTACAACGACAACGACCGGATAAGCGGCGGCGGCGGACTGTCCGTTGGAAACGTCGCGAGAAACTCCGCCAGTGACAATATGCTACTCGGTGGAAGTGGATCGGCACCCACCGCGACTGGCATCGGCGCCAGTAACAACGGAGGTGCGGTCGAATGTCCATCGAATGACTTCGGTAACGTCGAGAGTAACAACAGAAGGGGAGACTCGACGACGCCGTGCTCCAATAGCGTCTCGACTTCCGCGGGACCGCCCGATCAACGCTCCACCAATGGCAATACCGCGAACAGCAATCCTCAGGTCGGCAGTAACTCTAACAGCAATTCGACGTTACACTCGGACTCACAAGTGTCCAATCTGTGCAACATCGCGGACCATCGTCTCTACAAGATAGTCAAATGGTGCAAGAGTTTGCCGCTCTTCAAGAATATCTCGATCGACGATCAGATCTGCCTGTTGATCAACTCCTGGTGCGAATTGCTACTTTTCTCATGCTGCTTTCGCAGCATGAGCACCCCCGGTGAAATAAGAGTGTCTCTTGGCAAGTCGATTACCCTAGATCAGGCCAGACAGCTTGGTTTAGCGACCTGCATCGAGAGGATGCTCGCTTTCACTAATAATCTGCGAAGGCTGAGAGTAGATCAGTATGAATACGTCGCGATGAAGGTAAGTTTTACGATACTCGCAATCTCATCGAATGTATATTAATTTATGCTTCTCCTCGCGCAAATCAACACAGGTGATCGTGCTGCTGACCTCCGACACGAGCGAGTTAAAGGAACCTGAGAAAGTCAGAGCTTCTCAGGAGAAAGCCCTTCAAGCACTGCAGCAATATACGATTTCGAGGTACCCAGATATGCCCGCCAAGTTTGGCGAATTATTATTGAGAATTCCAGATTTACAAAGAACATGCCAAGTGGGTAAAGAATTGCTCAGTGAAAAACGCGCCGAGGGAGAAGGCAGCTCGTTTAACCTTCTGATGGAATTGTTGAGGGGAGATCACTGAATTTTCAACGAAGTGAACAATGCCGTAAGTTTAACAAGGCCAGCACATTATTACGTCAAGTTGATGAAGATTGGCTCAACACTTTGACAGTCGTACTTATCGTAGAAAAATGTTTGCTCGTCGCCGACGGATTTCGAAAACTTGCTTAGACAATATCTGAAGAAACACTTTTATAAATTAATTTCCTCTCCTTATTGAAATAATTTTCTCCTTGAACATTAATTCATAAATCTATTTTTATTGTATTTTTACTGTTATTATCGACAAATATTATCTCAATAAAGCGACAATCATTAACAGAATGAAGCGTGCGTGACAACGACCATCAAAGTGTTAAGACAATCGTCTTAACAAAAAGAAAAAATGTTGTAAGAATTGCTAAGTTGGTGTGTGTAAACGAATTAGATTGAATTGGATTGAAATTAGATTTCTTTCTTTCCAGATTCCACGCTTATAGGGTCCATAAGCTTAGGGAATCGGATATAATAGATAATCGTAGAATAAACAGATTAGAGAAGAGAAAGAAACGGCGGATGTAAGGTCCATAATGACATTAGTACACGGTGAGGGGACTGCATTCTTCGTAGGCTGCATTCCGAAATTGACTGTGCTTTCTACTGACTTCTATACAGTAGCGTTGTTAGATCGCGAACGTTCGTTTAGCATAGCTAAATGTGTGCTTCATTTAGCTATATGCATGGTAGATCATCTAATATGGTTAAATGCATGGCATTTTTAGCATAAGCTACATGAACGTGAGTATTACTGTCAACATTGTCAATACTATCATTGGTACATTTCGAAATGCAGTCATCATTAGGGCGTATCAGCCTGATAATAATAAAGAACTTTCTTTTTACACCGGAATGCGTCTCCAGACAGGTTGTGCGTGTTCGCATTCCTGTTTTTTCTTTTTTTTTTTTTTTTAACAAACGAATTTCGAAGCGGCCTATATACGGTATGGTATGCTGAAACCGTAAATTCAGCGTACGTGTAAATGCAAATGAGACTGAAAGTATAATTGACGGAGACACGAAAGCATTTACTTTTACAATGATAAGCGATGTATAAATACGAGGATAGTATCAAGTGGTATCAAAATGCTAAAAATCTATAATAATAGGTGGATGTAATCAATATGAGAGCGAAAGCTTTACAGTAGCGGACGCGATTCTATAGACAGAGTTGACCTCTAATAACGATTATAATAGAACAACCAGTATTTCGTATCGTTCTGCGCTTACTTAAGAACAGAGCATAGCCATGCCTTATAATCCCGGTTATGAAAGTGTACTTAAAAACGTAAAACATCAGTCGACCAATTATCTACTTATAGAGCAGTAAAAATCTTGAAATAATTAGTTAATATGCTTAGTTAGAATATCGTCCGTGGAATATGTGGTTTTTATCGATCACACAAAATACATTTTTAATTCTCTTTATATATTTTAACAGCTTGTCAATGGAAATGAAAGATTTGTGAGTTTCAATTGGCACAAACATCGCAAAAATTTCCTAGGTAATGTCAGCAATACGTATAGCTGCTATCTTTTCTGTAAATATGTCTTCTAGAGGAAGAAATCGGCTGATATTGCTTCCCGTTTTACACTTGTAGAAATTATTTTATATACTACCTTTTATTATTATAGGGAAGAATATACAAATTCTTTAATGGCAAATCGAGATATATCCTCCTTAGTCTCGAGAAAAAATACGTTATCTCTAAATATACTTTCTACTGCATTGTATGGAAAAATAAAATAAAAATTTTCTAAAAATTTTTATGAGATGTATAAGTACTAAAGTGAACACTTTCTCTGATAGTAAACTCGTAACTTTGTTCAGCTGGCTGTACAAAGGGACTACGGAGGATATATTGTTTGTAAATGCATTTAAAAAATATATATATATATATATTTTTTTTTTGTATATTATATATGATCAAACTATAATTTTGAAAATATATTGGTTTGCGTTTCTTTCAATATATTGCTGCGAAACTCATTAAATTTTATATTTTGTTAAATTTTATGCTAATATCGATAAGAACATATTTATTATCTGTAATGTCCGTAAAGTAGTAAAACTATTAAAATTAGTATATCAGTTGGTCGCTATTAATTATTATTTTATTGTTGTAATTATTATTTTATTTTGGAACATTTTTCTCAAACACAATACGAACCATTAATGGAGACTGTTATTTGAGAAAATGTGATTTAAAAGATTTTTATTTGTCTATGGAATTTTCGTTAAATTTGCATATGTAATATTTGCGATATGTAATATTGATTTTTAAATCATTTTTATTATATATGCGTGGAGAATATATCATATAAGACATTTGCAATTACAGAAATGTAAATGCTTATTTTGAAAGAAATGCATTATGAATGTAACTCGAAAGATGCAGCTATAAGCTTGCGTGCGAAACGAACACATTGATCTCTGTCGTTGGTACTTTAATGAGACTGTCATATATTAGCACATCGTTCTTTTTACTACAGTCGCTTAGTCTCTTTTTGTTTGTTGACAATGACCTGTGGAAAATATGTAAGGGACATCCTGAGGCACTTAAAAATACTTGCTGATTCGCAATACTTAATATAAAGATAACTTATAAGAACACCGTCTTCCTACAGTTTCTACCTATTTTATTAGAAAATAACTTATCACACACCCTCTCGATGTATATGCGCATACACATATCATTCGCGTGACTACCGAAAATACGATTTCCTCTCTAAAAGATTCATTAGGAGCATTTGTAAAATATTGAGGTCGTCATTAATAGCCTGTACATCTCATCATGCACAATAATAGCGATAGTGTAACAAAAGCAAAATGTTGGACAGTATTTTGCACGACTCATTATTGAATTGGTATTAAAATGTTTCAAAGCAGATGCTTAGTTCGATTACATTTACGTATAGAAAATGCTACGAAAGTAACGCTGTAAATATAAAGAGAAAGAATTATATTTTGTTGTGACGAGTGCGTGTGCGGAATGCGTGAGGAAAGAAAGAGAGCGGAGGAGAGAAAGAGCGGGAGAAAGCGAGAGCGCGCGATGCGAATGATATACACTTGTAATAAAGCATATAAAAGTCGACTTAAGTGAATTAGTACGAAAGTAGAATTACAAAAAGATAAAATATTTGTCTGTTAAAAAAAAGTGACTATTCTATGTTTATATTTGACAAAAAAGCTATTTCTATATACTTTTTAACGAGACACTTCTGCTGTAACTCAGTGATACAATTGTCCTCATTTGTGTGTGCTGACACGCGATAAAAGAACCCGCTTAATTTTGTTGTGTGCGAGAGAAGCTAGCCGTAGAGAGACAACTCCTATCCTAATCGCGGCGATTTTAATTCTACCGTTCTTTTTTCCCGACAATTGTCATCAAGAAAAAGGACTAACTCAATGGATATAGTCTTCCGTTTCCGGTGTAACACGACGTCGTCGCGAGTAACGGCGTTTCGCGTTCGTTATGTAACAATTACGAAGATTCGACGAGAAATCTTTCCGCCAATCATGACAATATTCAGAGGAAGCTGTGTGCGCGATAACGAATCGGATTATATACGATATACGAAGAGCTTAAATACGACAGACTGCAATGACAATTATATAAATAAAAAAAAAATATATATATAAATATATATATATATATACATATACAGAGATGTACACGTTGTAAGAAAGAGGTTGTAAGTATAAACGGCGAGGGTAACACCGGACGTAAGGGCCAAACAGCAGTGTAATATTAAACAGACCGTATCCTAGAGATAATATTACGGATACTCAACGTATAGTATTTCTTATCGATATATTATTGAATACAGAGCGAGAAATTTTATTAGGAAGAACAAGAGAGAGAGAGAGAGAGAGAGAATGCCGTCGGAGTTTTTAACCGTCAACTAGCTCGGCAGTCCCGCGAAAATTGCACGACTTTTTACCTCGATATATGTTGTAACGAATATATGCTCCCTCTCTCGCTCAGCGTGTGGTAATCTTTATGCTTCACGTACGAATGAGCAAGTTGTCACAGGCTATGCGAGAGACGATTTCGTCGATTATTGCACGACAGTGCGAAACGCATTTTGCATCAAACGACTTCGAACACTACTGATCTAGTTGAATCGCGACAGAAAAAGATAAGAGACGACCGATACACGTTACTGCTGAGAATATTTCGTTCCCGACGTAGAGGAGGATAGCTATTCACACGAACACGATTAGAAAGTAGTTTTATACATACAACACGAATTATCATACGAAATAAAAGAAAAAAAAAACTTTTTACAAAACGATATATTTTTTATGGTATATCGTCCTCCCAAACGTTTCGTCTCATTCTCCGTTTTTTCTATCAGAATTCGCGCAGGTGCTGTACGCAGTCATAAATGCTTGACCATTCCTCAGAGATGAAGAGTATATTATTTTCGACCTTATATGTATAAGTTTGAAAATTGTATAATTGGTTACTTGCTTGACCATGATTAGATTTATTTATACGATTTTCAGAGTCGATTTTCCCAACTTTTTAGTGAGTTTTTCCTGTAATTAACAGTTGAATCATATGTTTTTGTTTTTGCTTCAAATTAGACAAAGACACATGTGATTTAGTTAGCTTACCATGAAGAAATCTACATACAAATCTTATGTATATTGATAAAAAATACTTGAAATCTTATTTGTGGGATAAAACATACACTAAGAAAAAAGTACTTGAAAAATTATTTATGGGGTATATATTTTATTTACAAAAAAATAAACCTTATATTCCACAGATAAACTCTTCAAGTATTTTCTTTTCAATGTATAAAGTAAAAAACTGTATAATCTTTGCCAGGCATTTATGGCTCCGGCTGTGTAAATGCAATATATTATTACCGATTTTTCTCCTCGCACGATGCACGATGCTCTGCCCGATACGGTTCACTCTTATCACTGGTGTCCATTTCCCGTACTTATCCAGCGATATTTCAATCACAACACGCGCGAATTGACTCCGTACTTCCGATAGTATTTCACGCGTACGTCTCTTCCGACTGTATCAACGGCTGCGATTTGAATTTACGCTATTACCCGCCGACGCTCGATACTCTGCAAAGGTACAGTCATGAACTGAGGCATAGTACTAGTGGTCTGTACTTTTCAGCTGTACTGCTGAACTGGTTCAATAAGTTAGAGTGAGAAGGAATATGCTAGTCTCGCTCTAATTTATTGCACCAGGAGAGCAGTGAAACTAAAAAAAATAGACTACTTGTTGATAGTTTTTTGTAGTAAAACCTCACTTCACGCTTCATTCTCCCGAGGACGATGATCCGCGCACGAGATCCTCTCGGTAACTCGAAAACGATTTAGGTTATCGATCATCATAACGCCCTTAACGGTCAGCGCAGCGCTGGACACTTCTGAGATACTTTCGGCACTTGCCCGACGATATTTTTCTGCACCATCCATGCGAAATTTACTTCCAGCACTTGAGGAGTCGACAAATCGCGTGTAAGACCGCGGATAAATCGAAATCATGATAAATACGAGACGGCTTTTCAAACGTCAATGCCGCCCTACTGCCTCTCGTTACCGACTGAACATCGCAGCGATTAAGAAACTGGAAATATCTCGATACGTCCGGCATGAACGTACACTGTTAAATATTGGAGGGTCAAATTTAAACCAATTTCTTGAGTTAAATAATATTTAGTTATTTTTAACTATCATGTGTGTCAAAATTTACTATTTTAACACAAAACGTGTGTTTAAAAAAACAACCACATCTAATCAACCCATTTAAAATAATATTAAGTCATTTTTTACTAAAACAAAGGTTACATTAACGTGCACATAATAAAAAGTAAATTAAATTTTAATCAAATTTAATACATTTCTTAAGTTAAATTATTTAACTCCATTACATTAGTTAAATTAACGACATATTTAGTAGGAGCAGTGGCGACTTATAGGAATGGTTAAAAATAACTCAAATTGAGTATAATTTGACACGGATTTAACAGTGTAGATGCACACTCTCAATAGATGTTTAACGATATTTCGTCATAATCAATGATACGAGACTCGTTTTTGGTACTTTCGACGATAATCATTGGGTGCGTCCAGCGGAAAAAGCGCTCAGTGAGCAATCAACGATTATTAGTTCTTACTATTAGATCCCTAAATCTAGACGAATTACATTGACGAATTGCTCAACTGTTGTGCAACTGTTGAGTTCGCTGAACGCACCCATTTACACATGAGACGCTTTAAACAAATCCAACGACTATCTTGTTTTCGAATTACCATGTCAACAGTCGATACTCGCCGGTCGTGTAATAGACTGAGGCAAAATAATTCTTGATCACACACACACACACACAAATGAAAATTATAATTATTTTTGGCTTTTATAATTATTTTTAGCTATAATTTTTAGTAAAGTAAAATTCTCAGATAGCCAAACCTGCGCGAACAGATATGCTACAGAGCCTATTGTCGGATAATTGCTGCAGGTTTGCAGCAAAAACCGTGCAGAGTTTTTAGCAATCTGACGGCAGATTGGCGGCAGAAACCACGCAGACCTTGCTGCGCTGCAGGTTCTGCGCGGTTTTTGCTGCAAATCTGCAGCAATTTCCCGACAGCAAGCTCTGTCGCCAAAACCGTAGCTGAATGAGGACACAGATGGCTATGGTTTTGGTGTAAATTTTTGATCAAATTTGCTGCCAATTTGCGCGCAGTCTGCGCTCAATTTGCTTACTGGGTTAAAAAGATAGTTTTCTTGACCATAATTTATAGTAATTATTTCTCTATGTGATTATAGTTACAAGTACCCTAGCAGCAAATATTAGTTGGCATACAGTTGGCCGCTATAAATTCAACATTGATCCAATATTTTATGTTGCTCGGATATTAAACATTTTTTTTCATTATATTCACTTCCAATGCTTGCTCAGCGATATTTTTTTTATGTCAAACGCGTAAAGCTTATTTATGGCATTTTAGATGACGATAGCTCGTTCGTGAAATCGCGGATGAGTCGAGATTGCCGAGGATACGAGGCGAATTCGACACGCAGTACTTTATCTCATAACTGATTGTAAATTGTCGCGTTGCTTGCACTTTTGATACTTTTGCATGTAATGTCCATGAGCGCGAATGAATGGTGTCCAATGAGAGTTTTTCTTTCTAAAGAGAAACTAGTGTGCAACTGACGTTAGATGTAAAAGTGTCAAAAGTGCAAGCAACGCGAACAGACCTCGCAACGTCGAGGTGTTCGATATATCGATGAACGCGGTGCTGCGCTTGCGCTCTAACTTATTCACAATAATTAGGTCTACTAATTAAAAAGACCTCGCAATTTAAATACACAAAGTGCTGGAGATTAAGGTGAATGAACGTCAATGAAAAATGACAAAAATCGCGTAACTTGATTATTACATTAAAACTACTATTTATTAATTACTATTACAACTTATGTAAATAGTAAATAGTAATATTAATTACTATTACAACTTATGTAAATAGTTGCTTAATTGCAGACAAAGAAAACGTTACCAGCGAGAAATGACTCGTCGATCGACGTCGAAACGATGTCGAATCGACATCAAAATCGTCAAATCGATGAAAGTTAAGACTTGGCGGAAAATAAAGGAGAAAAGGACTGATGTAAACTATTGCAGTAAGTTCAACAATAAAAAACAAATCTAATAGTGAATAAAGGTATTATCGTAGCGTGCACCGCAGCTGTTGAACTAGAATTAATGAAACCAACTTTGGATAGCTTACATCCAAACAATAGCAATGACGAAATAGATAGAATGATTGAGGAGGTAAATGTTGTTGAAGTTTGAATAGGAATTAATAATTGAGACTACTATGAAGTTAGAGGAAACAATAGAGGATTGAGTCAACAAATGAAAACACTATTTAAAAATACCGCCAAATGCAACAAGTTAGTCGAACACCCAAAATTTCAGGAGTGCGTTCGAAAACGTGCACCCGCTGCGTTGGAATGAGAAAGATACAAGAGTTAAATAAAGAGAGAGGGAGAGCACCCAGATGATGTTTTCGAAAGCATCTTTGGGTGGACTTCTACTCGAGATCATCTAACAGAGTTTTTAAGCAATTTCATCGTTGTTAATTAGGTTGTAACAGGACGCAGCTGTAAGGTGTAATGCAAAAGTTTCCGGACGGTGCGAGGTGCACCTGGGTAAAGTTTCCGAACGCAATCTTATTGGACGTCACGTGACCTTGCTATACAACCGCTTGCAAGCAATTTGCAGACGATAGCAAAGTAACCTGAGTTAATTTCTACCTTTGTTCATTTCTAGTCGTTCTAAAGTGTTCTCTAATTATTGAGCACGTAACATACATCTATTATGGGGAGTACGGATAACGCAACAAAGAATATGTTAAACGATAACCAGGATTTCGTTGATGAATATGGAGCAAATCTGAAGATTCTGCCGTGTAACAACCAAGTGAAAGAATTACAAACCATCTTAAGAGACAAGTGAGTAGCACGATGCTGTATCCTAGTGAGCAGAATATTTTTTTAATTAATTAATATTAAACATATTAGTGTTCATTTGCGATCAAAGGTAAATGTGCCACACTGTTTCAGTTTTGTTTTAATTCTACATAGTTGCTTGTTAGCAAGAAAGAGTTTTAGATATTCATCATATTAAATTCATATTTACTTTTATATATGTATATACAAGGATGCACACATGTATAATATATATTATTTATATATGTATTATATATTATTTATATATGTATATACAAGCATATATGTATAATAAAGTACTAGAAATTGATAAATAGTAACAAGAGTGACATTATTTATTAATAAACACATTTTATATATTCACATTTCATATTTGTGAATATGTCACAATATACATTCATATTTTTTATAGGAATACCACAAGGAGTGATTTCAAGTTCTATGCTGATCGCCTAGTAAGAAACACTTGATCTTATATACAAATATATATATAATAAAGTTATTTAGTTGAATCAAGACATCTAGATGGATATCTGGAAAGAATCAAAATAATTGTTATATGTGTACACATAGCAATTATTAGCTGTCTGTAACATATAAAACCGAAAACTATAGTACATAACATAGATTTTTTTTCTAAACATTTTAGATCAGGCTAGTTATTGAGGAGAGTTTGAACCAACTACCATTTTCAAAATGTGTGGTAACAACTCCAACAGGTGCTCAATACAAAGGTTTAAAATATCAAAAAGGAAACTGTGGTGTGTCCATAGTAAGGAGCGGAGAAGCTATGGAACAGGTATCATTTTTATGTAAAGTATATTAAGATTATGTGAATTATATATTTATACAAACACATGTGGAATTTCAATGTGGAATATTTTTATAGGGTCTTAGAGATTGCTGTCGTAGTATCAGAATTGGTAAGATCTTAGTTGAAAGTAATGCAGATACACATGAAGCTAGAGTAGTTTATGCTAAATTTCCTGATGATATATCCGAGAGGAAAGTTTTGTTAATGTATCCAATAATGAGTAAGTATTGATAAATATCTATATTCTAATAATATATTTTGTTTATTTATACATGAGGATATAATAATTAAAATATATTGTATATTTATAATAGGTACCGGAAACACTGTCATCAAAGCTATAGCTGTATTAAAAGAACATAATGTGCTGGAAGAAAATATTATTTTGTCAAATTTGTTCTGTACACCAATTGCAGCAAAATCTCTAGTCACTGCCTTTCCTAAGGTAATTTTTGTCATGTACTTGTATAATTTAAAATATAGGATATTTAATTATAATATTGTAATTATATATATAATTTTATGACAATATATATATATATATATATATATATATATATATAAAATTTGTGATACATTTAAATACATTTAATTTTTTTGTTTTCTTACAGATGAAAATTTTAACGTCAGAAATCCATACTGTTGCACCAAATCATTTTGGACAAAAATACTTTGGTACGGATTAATTAAATATATATCTATTATTAATCATACTTCATTATTGCATAATATGCTAAGACAAACACAATGCATAATGAAGAGAAAATCAGTAAAGAGAATGATTATATATGCTATACAAAATAATAAAGAGAAAATCAGTAAAGAGAATGATTATATATGTTATACAAAATGACCATTACATAAGAAAGTTCATTATATAAAATTAATTATTATTATATTTATATATATCTACAGAAATGCTTAATAAAACTTTAATTATTTATATGATAAATATATTCAAAGAAACACATTCTGTGTGAGATCTAGTGTTTTAAACATTTAATTCTTCAGATACTTAATATTTTATATTTGTTTTTTTCATATTATATAGTTTTGTAGATATCCATACAAAATAGCAGTAATTTAATGAATTTATATTGTCGTAGTAATTTAATTTTTATTTTTTTATAAATTTTATTATGAAAATATTAAGTTATAAATGTGTAGCAAAGTTTAAACTATATCAGCTGTAAACATTCTCTTGATTTTCTCTACATATAACAAGACTGTAAGTAATACATTTGTTTTAACTGTACTTAGAATTGATTGAATATCAACAATTGATATTTTTACACATTTGGTAGATAACAATTTTTCATTAAATATTGCTAATTATTTTCTTGTGCTTACAATAAATACTATAGATATATTAATGAATTCTGTGTGATATACATCAAGTATTTGCATAAAATATATTAAGATAACCTAAGTATCAAATGCGGTAAATAGCCATTAATTCTAATATTAAATATATACATGTATACATTTCATAGATACATGTAGGAATCATCGTCCCAATGAAAAATGAAAAATTTGATAGATAAACGATACTTAAAAACTTGACATTACAATTAATTATTATTTTAAAAATGTTTTCCTTATTTTATTATTTCGTAAAATTTTACGTTGAAAATGTTACTATTGAAAAGAGTGAGGATCTTAACTGACATTAAATTTCTCTAAGTATGTCTAAGTATTATAGTACGTAATGTCAGGTTTTCCATGTGCACAGTACATATGCATGTGTATTATATTTATCTAGAAATATATAATAAAAGACTATTCAGCTCAGGAGACTAAATCAGCAAATGTCGAACTATATAACGTTATATAAAGAACATTATATATAGTACTTGTAAATTATTCAAATTATCAATTTCTTCTTTTTATCTTTACACATTTAGATCTGACTTGTCGTTTCGTTAGTCAACTATTCGTTATATTAATGTATATAATTTTCCAACGTATAAATTCCATATAACGAAATCGATGGCATTAATGAATTTCGTGTAACGAAGTATAATATTGTCGAATATTTAACAAAACATGCATAATAATTGGGCATTTTACAGGTGCGTACAGTTAATAATGATATTTATATATTTTTTGTAGTATATGTATTTTACAGGCATAATTGATATAAGGAATTACTATCTATATAATCATAATACAAAGTGTAATCTGTTAGAACGTATTACAACGTATACAATATTTATAATATACAATTTATAATTATTTAATAATTGATACATAAATTATATTTATGAATGATTTGACAAATTTTTGAAAAACACTACATATATATGTAACGAAATGAAAAAGGCCACACAAGATCCTTATATCAATATTTTTTAAGATTTTTTAAGCCAATTTCGATTCATTCTTTATTGTTGCATTTAATACATAATTTTTAATGGAATATACTTGTATACATCAACATATTTATATTTACTTAAATACATATTCTTCTTAGCACACACTTTTATTTAGAATGGTACAAATGTTACAGTAACTTTACGTTTACAAAATATAATGCGTTTTATTTAGAATTTTAGCAGTATAACGCACCGTCTAATTTATTTATTTACTGAACAAGTATTTGTCATATACAAATATTCTGAAGATGAGAGGAGTATTTCTAACTATTAATGTCAGTTAAGAACGAAGAATGGAATACTTACAAATGGGACTGTATATATTGCAAATATAACTATTTTATGTATTGAATACATGCAGTCTACGAAGTCAAACTATTATAGCTATAAACTATATAATATAGCTAATGTCTAATAACCAAAAGCTGAAAAAAGTGTCATATAAAACTTTATGCATAAATATATTTGATATCTTTATCAGCAGAACACTACGTTTATGCAGCTTTTACATGTTCGTTTAACCTATCGTCAAAAAAATTTTAGTCTTTATATTTGAAATTAAAGAAAATATGTTTAACTATAGCTATGTGAAATCAGTTTATGAAAAATCTAGATTGCCTGTGGCATTCTTATATTGAACTATTTGCCTTATAACGTGCCTATGAAAAAGCTGCATTCAATAGTTACAGTAATATTGCAGTAAGACCAATAATTTATGTGATGTAAATTCTCTTGTTATTAAATGAAATGTTTATATACATACTATTATTTAAATTATAAGTTGATTTACTAGTAATTATTTCATATCTTTCATATCTCAGCAACAAGTTTATTTAATAAAGATATTGTATCAATGCGTAATATTGATAAATACAGATATATATGTGCACAGTGATCATTAGTTACTTAATACAGCAGATATGATATAAATAAATGTAATCTCGAAAATGGACTATGTTTTATTTTTATCTTTATTTTTTTTAGTGTTTTTTAATATATTTAAAGAAGTTAACATATATCGTCTAGTATTATGGTTAGTTATATAAATTTCTTTCTGTTCTTATTAATGATAGTTACATATTAAATTACATATTAATTTAATAATTATGTATTTTAATATATTTTGCAATTTGTTAGGTTTATTCACTACACTTGTCTTTCTTTTATCTTCTTTAATGATAATTACAAAATGTGTTTTGTAATTCCACTAGTTGTGTGAAAATTATTTTAAATGAGCTTGGAGTACAACAATATATAATGTCGATATAATTAGCCCCAAGAAAAATATGAATGGTATCTTACACTTTATCAGATTATATACCGGCAGCTAAATTTCTTGAGAGATAGATTTTACAAAGTGTCTGCTATAAATTTGTTGGCAGTTTTTCGACGGAAATATAACAGAATCTGTTAACAGAATATGACGGCAAATTAGTGGCAGAAACCAAACAGAATCTGCCGTTTAGTTCAAATGCATTTAAATTGAGTATACGGTAGGCTTTGTTCGGTTCTGTTGCCAATCTGCTGTTCGATTATGTTGGCAGGTACTACGGATAGAACACGAGCTTAATGCGGAGGCAGTTAATATTGGATTTGCCACAATATTCTAATTGAGCCTGCTTGCATATTGTTAACATTTTACTTATTGGGGTATTAAAAAAAAATTAGCAGGTATTGTGTGTGTTAAAAATTTATTTTATATTATTACATAAACATATATATAATTCCTGATATATTGCCAAAAACATATTGATAATTATTGATTTCAGGCACGTTATTCGTTACATCGTATTGGAGACATCAAAATATACAGAAGAAAGATAGCGGAGGAATTAGCCACTATTCTATTCTCATTGTTAAATTTCAATATAATTGATTAAATTATGAATTATATCAGTTTAAGGAGTAAAGATACATCGCAATATCTTGTAGATCAATTAGATTACACATTATTTTTAACCTGAGAGAACATGAGCAATATTTTCAGATATTATATATATGCTAAGGGGAGAAATATATTTTGTATATATCTGGAAATATATTTGAGAAAAACAGTATCGCTATCTCAGGTTTGCTATAGGCTCTAATAAACATATTTTTAAATATTGTATGTACTTACCTGAGAGCTAGCAATAAAAAAGATAAAAAAATTAATAAAATTCCCGTAGATATACGGGATATATCTATATAGATATCTATGGAAATTTTATCTAATATATTCTATATTTATATATTTACATATATGTTATAATTTATGTATTATATTTATCATGTTGTGATACGTTAGAAAGAGATATTTTGAGGATGTGTGAATGGAATTTTAAAAACTTGAATCATTATATTTATTAGTAAATTCTTGTATGCACGTAACAATGTGATCGCTGTGATCTATATATATATTTTATATATATACATATATAATGTATAAGGAATACTATCTTTGTGTAAATATGATTATATGTATAATAAGAGATTATATATATCTCTCTAATACAATATGTTAAATTTTATTTTAACAATATTCTAATCTCTTTATTGTTACCGCCCTCATTCTTGTAATAAGAAAGACGTTTTGTCAATAAGAATAAAGTTTTGCCATTTCTCTCCTTCCTTAATTCCAGCGACGAATATTTGATGCCCACATATCATATATTAATACACACACGCGTAATACCTATCGTGGACTTATAAATCATGATGAAGAATAGAATCATAATAGCAAAATAATTTTTTATTTTATTTATTTATTATATGTAACAAAGCAATTTGTAGCAAATGCTGCGTAAAGCTTGATTTCTTTTTCATGACAGTGCTATCTTTATACGATAGAAAAGCGACAAAAAGTTCTTACAAGATATCAATCTTGCTGAATATAATAAAAGGAAGGAAGAGCATCACGCGAGTAATGATAACGGAAGAATAATTCATATAGGCCTTTCACAGGTGATACAACTGCCACTATTATCCTGAACTGTTTCCTCAAAACACATTATTAAGTAGCAAAATTGGCATATACAAAAATTTATGCACATGCAAAAATTTCTCATACATTAATAGAGAAATTTATTGTTCTGTGTTAATAGTAGCAATTGTAAAAAATTTCTTTTTATAGAACTTCTATATTATTATAATATATAATTTATAAACATTATAGATATATAAATTAGAAATCAACAATTGATCGGAATCGAAGACTGTGTCAATGGAATTAGGTGTTCAGTAAGCATGAATCATATACACACATATCAACGAAATTATGTCATGCCAGTATGAGTCATATGCACGACTACAATTTTGTCATAAGCAGAAATAAGATTGGAAGCCATTGTACAGATAGACAAAGAGAATATTCGAAACTGATCTATAAAAAAAATCTAGAAATTTCTCCTTTTGTTCTTTTCTTTCTAACAACTTAGTCTAATGCATATTCTAATAACTTCGAGAAATTAATTTCTCTTATAATATACTTGGAAAGACTGTTTGATTATCTTAACGTAATAAAAAAAAAGTTCGAATAAGAAGTTCCCCGTGAGAAATAAAGAAGAAAAACTATCTTTAATACTGCGCGCGTATGTTTGATTTAAAATATAATATAAATATCAAAATTTCCTCGTGTGTATAACAACCATTTTTTGATATAAAAGATCCAATTACGATACAACATATATATATATATATATATATATATATATATATATATATATATATATATATATATATATATATATAT